GCAGAGAAGGCCCTGACCTGTGGCCCTCCAGCCCTGAGAGGGCCACCGGCCTGCCCACCCCTGCAGTGGAGAGAGATGCCCAGAGCCTGAGGCTTATGCAACACAACCTTTTTGAAAATCATTTTAGGGTTTGAGGGTTGTTTTTTAATCCTCACTTGAGGATCTTTTTTCCACTGAATTTTTTTTTAGAGTAGAAAGGAGGGAGTGAGGGGGTGGAGAGAGAAACGGATGTGAGAGAGACATTGATTGGTTGCCTCCCGCACTCACCCCTACCGGCCAGGGATGGAACCTGCAACCCAGGTACTTGCCCTTGACTGGGAATCGAACCACCACCCTTTGGTGTGGGGCCGATGCTTTAACCACTGAGCACACTGGCCAGGGAAGGTTTGAGGGTTTTTTAAATGCAAAACATTCCTGTAGTTACAGAGGTGGCCTTAGGTGTGGTGGGGAAAGCTTGTGTGTGGGAGTCTCTCAATCCGGTTATGATGCCGGCTTTGTGATCTTGGGCAGGTGACTTGATTCTCTCGGCCTCAGATTCCCAATCTGTCCAATGGCCCCGTGGAGTTGGGAAGAGAGGATGTCCCAAACACTTGGCACAGTGCCACCCTGGGAAGTGCTCGTCCAAGTCGCCAACAACCCTAAGTGCATGTAAGTTAAAAGCGAGCACTCCCCATCCCACAGCCCATTGATAAACAGATGGAGTAGGTATGCTTCCAGAATTTTCCTCTGTATACAAATATATGTACATACATAATTTTTGTTAATAAAAATGAGATCATGCATTGTGTACAGAAGGCTCTGCAGCCTGCATTTTTTCATTATTGCAACCCAGGAACCCTTCCGTCTGGTACCTACACCAGTGTTGACAAATCCATTTCAAGAGGCTACCTAGCATCTCCTGGCTTCTCAGCCGCTCTCCTGTTGGACACAGGTCATCTCCAGTTTTTTCACTGTTATTCATAGTAAGAGCCAGTTCAAGGAGGGTTCAGGAGGTTCATCAGAGAAACATTCGTTCAATGTCTTGTTTTCAAAGCAAATTATTTGATCTCATTTGGTTTTCACAGAAAGCTCACCAGAGAGGTGATATCCCATTTATGACTAGGGAAACAAACTTGTCGAGAGGGACAGACTTCCCAAGGATCCCACCAGTCGTGACAGAGGGGGCCTGGGACTGTCCTCTCCGGTTACATTTGTCCTGTTTCTGGAGCAGAAGCTGCAAATGGCTTCAGTGTCAAGGTGAGAAGAGAGAGTGGGGAGGGTTGTGGACGAAAGAAAGACATTCTTGGTCACTGACCACTTGACTGGTTGACACAGAACAACAGCCCCGTCGCTTGAACTTCAGTCTCCAAGAGAAGCAGGGAATGCAGATTTTCTATGAAATCTCCCAGATACGAACGTAGCCGCCCAACCAGGAACCTTCTGCCCTCGCATGCAAGGTGTGGCCCCTGCCTCAGGCCCAAACTCTATTTTCTACTTTTCTTGATAAAACAGGCAACGTGAGGCATGGTAGCTGAAACCTGACGCAGCAACACCCCCAGGCCCTGCAGTCCCACCAGCCTGTGAGGTTAAGTGGCCTGGAAAAGACCGTTGTGTTCTGTGGGGCCTTTTGTCCACCTTTATTGCTGGGCGCTGCTGAGCAATCTGCGCCGTCCCCTCATCCGCCTGTGCATGCATCTTCTGCCACCCAGGCCAGAGCCTTGGATGACGTTCCCAGTGAGCTCGTGTGTCAGGTAACAGTCACTATGATTCCCCAAAACGGTGTCCAGTTCCCCTTCACTTCTCTCCCTCTCCTTCCTGGGTCAGCACCACGGTTGAGAGGGGGACCCCTGGAGACACACTGCTTGGGGTCCGGTCCCTGCTCTGTCTCTAGGTAGCAGGGTGGTCTTGGGTCGGTCGCCTCACCGCTTGTGCCTTGGTTTCCTTACCTGTAAACTGGATGAAACGCCTAGGCCAGGAAAGGCTAGTTGCTGTTACTCTGTTGGTCTCCTCTCACTTTGCCAGGGGCTGTGCAGGGGCCAGTGGTACAAAGACAAACAAACCACAGCCCTTGCCCCAAAGGAGCATGACCTTGACCTCACTGTACGCAACAGTCAGCAAAAAGCTGACTCTGGGGCAGAGGGAACCTTTCTCCAGCCAAGTTTTTGAGTTTTGAAATCATCTGAGTTCCCAGGTGCCAGAAGGCTGTGGTCCCTGACTCCTTTGGGGCAAAGCTGCAGGCTGCCCACCTCCTTTCCTTCCTGCCGAAGCCCCGAGGTGAACTGGTGTCTGGAGCACCGAGCGGGAGAGAATCGCTGGCTCCTCAGCCCCTTCCCTGTGGGCCCAGCTTCTTCCTCCTCGGGAGGTTCACTTCAACCCAGGGGCCCCTCCAGATGAGAGGAAGATCCCAGCCCTCTCTCCTGTGCCAGAGGCTCCCCTCTCCTTGCTTCCCAACTTCCTTGTGGGCTGGGTTCAAGCACACTTCCCCCTGGAGAGTCCCGGTGGCCTTGCCTGGTCCCTCGGCCTACTTCTCTATCCTGTCTACCTCTGCTGAGCCATGACCCTGGGGCATGGAGCCCTGAGCTGGCCACACCCCCCCACTCCCAGATTGCCCCTCTCTGGACCCATTTTGCTTGCAGTAAACAGGAGGTCATCTCTGCCTATGATAGAACAGGACACAGCAGGTCAGCTGCTAAGCCCGCAGCAGTTGCTTTCAATTTCAAAATTAAACTTTCATTCCTTCCCTTTTTTACCATGCATTCATTCAACGTATTTATTGAGTGGCCACTGTTTGTCAGGCTTTGCTCAGGGGATGCAGTCAGTCATGAATGAGATGTCCCTGCCCACACATTTGAGTGGAGGAAGCAGACCTTAAGCAGGTAACCTCATTAATGAATATAGAAGTGCAGAGACAAAGCTTGTATCGGAATGGAATATAATTCTCTGAGAGTATAATAAGCTGATTCACCCTAACTAGGACTTGACCCACATGCCAGGGAGACAAGAGGAAAGGGATCAAGCGGTGCAAAGGCCCTGGGGCAAGCAGGTTGGCGGTTCCTCAAAAGTTGAACACAGTTACCACATGATCCAGCAATTCCACTCCTAGGTGTACATTCATATGTATATATATATATACTCAAGAAAAATGAAAACATGTCCTCATGAAAGCTCATGCATGAATGTTCATAGGATCATTATTCAGAACAGCCAAAAAATAAAAGAACCCAAATGCCCATTGACTAATGAGTGGATCAACAAAATGGTGCATCCATACGACGAATACTATTCAGCCATAAGAAGGAGTAAAGTACTGATACATGCTACCACATGGATGAACCTTGAAAACATTGCGCTAAGTGAAAGAAGCCAGTCACAAAGGCCCACAGACTGTATGATTCCATTCATATGAAATGTTCAGAACAGAAAAATCTATGGAGAGCAGACTGTGGTCACAGGGTGTGTTAGTTACTCAGGCTGCCATAACCAAGCACCACGGACTCTGGGGCTCAGACCACGAGAGTTTATTTCCTCACAGTCTGGAGGCCAGAAGTCAGAGCTGAAGGTGTTGAAAGGGTTCGTTTCATTCTGAGGCCGCTCTCCTTGGGTGTAGATGGCCTCCTCTTTTCTTTCTCTGCACATGGTCTTCCCTGTGGGTGTCTGTGTTCTAACTCTTCTTATGACACTGGTCACGCTGGATTAGGGCCCACTCTAATGACCTCACTTTGCCTCTTTAAAGACGGTGTTCCCAAATCAGTTACATACTGGGGGTTAAGACTTCAACATAGGAATGGTGGTTAGGGAGACACAATTCAGCCCACAACACAGGAGGAGCAGGGAGTGACTGCGAATGAATACGGGCTTCTCTTTCCAGAGATGAAAATGTTCTGCATTAGTGATGATCGATACACGAATTTGTGAGCATGCTGAAAACAACCGTCCTACTCTGAAAGGGTGAACTTTGCCCCGGTGCAAGGAGCCTGGTTTTCAGGGAGGGAGGACAACCTGGGTGCTGGCAGGTTGCAGGGGTCCCATTGCCCAGGGCCTTTCTCCACCCCAGGAGCCCGGCACTTCAAGCTTCTGCTCCCTGCATAGACTCTGCCCTTCTCCACAATGTCTGGCACGAAAGCTCATTATCAAGGACCTTTCCAATTGGGTTGGGATTGAAATTGGGACACTTTTGGGGGGGGGAGGGGAACACACTTTTGAAACCTCCAAGAGCCAACTTCTGTCCCTGGTGGGCAGTTTACCGTGGAGCAGACACGGCTTGGGATGACCTCTTCTTGTCGGTCGACACATGGAACGTTTCCTGTATGCTAGGGACATTCCAAATCCGTGTCAACTAGTGCGTCTTTTAGTTCTAACAATCCAGCAACATAGGTACCATTTCTCTCTGGCCCACAGTCACATTGCCCACACAGCTAATAAAGGGCAGAGTCAGAATTCGAATCCTGACAGCCCCAGGGCCCACACTGTTACCCACAACTCTGCCTCATAACAGCCCTGAGTTAGGGTTTATCAGCCTGTTGTTATCCTCACTTGACATGAGGAAACTGAGGCCCAGAGCGGTCAGTGACTCGGTTTGGGTCATACTGTGAGTCAGGATGCTGGGAATGGTGTGAGTAGGTGAATGTGGGGTAAATGACCTCGGAGCCTGGGAAATCACAGGAACAAAGCCTGGGGGAGGGGGGAGGTCTCGGGGGGAGGCTGTGCTGCCATAGAGGCAGGGCTTAGGGCTGGGCAATGCCCCGGCCTCCCGCTGCCCCTGTGCCCAGGCTCACTCCTGCTTCCTCCCAGTTCTCAGCCCACCCCTAGAGGTGGCTCCTTGGCAAGGCCGCGGGAGGCCTGCCCTGCCCTGCCAGGAGGGTCAGGGCCAGAGTCAGAGGTGCCGAAGAGACACCCAAGGGGCTGCCCAGGGGACAGGGTGCCTGCATACCTGGGAAGCCACCTCTCAGCTTGGGGGCGGGGGTGACAGAGGCCCGCGTGACCTTGCAGCTGACATTCCTCAGTGGCCACGTGGTCCCAATTGGCAGGGACAGCTGCAGACAGGGGCCCGACCAGCTTTGTTCCCAGAGTGGCACCGGTTCTCCATCAGGCCCTGCTCGTCTCCTGCCTGGTGCCACTTTCCTTCCCGGGGCTCAGTGGGCAGCTAGCACTGCGGGTCCCCTGCCATGAGTGCCTAGAGGCAGGGAGCCACCAGGGTCTGTCTGTGGGTCGTGGGGCTCTGGGGATGGGGCAGGACCAGACAAAGCAGCAGATCGAGAAGGGGCTCCAGCTATACCAGTCTAACCAGACAGAGAAGGCGCTGCAGGTGTGGATGAAGGTGCTGGAAAAGAGCTCGGACCTCGTGGGGCGCTTTCGCGTGCTGGGCTGCCTGGTCACGGCCCACTCGGAGATGGGCCGCTACAAGGAGATGCTGAAGGTGGGCGCGCCCCGCAGCTGGCGTGGGAGGACGGGGCCAGAGCTGGGTTTCTCCGAGGCTTCCCGGCCCCCCTCCCGCCTCCTTAGGCTCCCCTGTGTCCCATGAGCTAGTGGCCCAGGACTGAGGCTCTGAACTCACACCTGAGGCCCTGGGTCTTAGATGCGGAGTCTTGGCTTGGGATTTGGGCCTGTGGCTTTGAACTGCAGGGTGGGGATCTGGAGGCCAGGAGTCTAGGCTCCAGCCTTCCCGTTTGGGGTCTGCGTCTGCATCTGCAGGCACTGGCTCCCGGCTTGAGGCTGGAGGTGGGTAGGTGCTGGGGACTGAAGATCTCGGCTGGGGTTGGGAAGGTGGAGGCCCCAGGGCTGAAGCTCCTGGCCTATGGGGGGAGAGAGAATGCTTGAGGCTGGCATGGGAGGCCGGGCTCTGAAGCTACGGGATGTGAGGCTCGGCGGGGTGGAGGCTCGGGTCCGAGGCTCAGGCTGACGGCCACATGCCCACCACCCTGTGGGCAGTTTGCCGTGGTGCAGATCGACACCGCTCGGGAACTGGAGGACGCCAACTTCCTCCTGGAGAGCTACCTGAACCTGGCGCGCAGCAACGAGAAGCTGTGCGAGTTTCACAAGACCATCTCCTACTGCAAGACCTGCCTCGGCCTGCCTGGCACCAGGGCGGGCGCCCAGCTCGGGGGCCAGGTCAGCCTGAGCATGGGCAATGCCTTCCTGGGCCTCAGCCTCTTCCAGAAGGCCCTGGAGAGCTTCGAGAAGGCCCTGCGCTACGCCCACAACAACGACGACACCATGCTCGAGTGCCGCGTCTGCTGCAGCCTGGGCAGCTTCTACGCCCAGGTCAAGGTGGGCCGGGCCCCAGGGGGAGGGCAGCGGGGGGCTCGGGCTCCCCTTGCATCACTTTGTTCAGTCCTCCTGTTTAGGCAGGGAGGAGATGGACTGGAGTCCCAGAGGGTAACACTTGCCCAGGAAGGTAAAGACTGGGTCAGGAGGGGCACAGCCAGAATTCAAACCTCAATCTGCCTGACTCTGGGGGATGGGAGGCTCCTGTGCGAGGACCCTGCACTGTCACCCGCTCGCTGTGCGATCCTGGACACAGCACCTCTCCTCCCTGAACGTTGGTAGGTGTAGATATATCATGAGGGAGCATAGGACCTACTGTACAGCATGTTTGTAAGGATTCATCACATATTTAGTGAGCATTTAAATGCAGGACACTGTTGGCCTGGGGTGCAGCAGTGAAAACAACGGCAAAGTCCCTGGTCTCATGAAGCTTGCCCTCTAGTTGGGGGGAAAAGAGGGTAAACACAGTGAGTAAGTTAACTGCACAGTGTGCTAGAAAGTGCTTCTGAGGAGGAAGGAAAGCAGGAAAGGGGGTGAGAGGTGCCGAGGAGGGGGCGCTGCAATTTCAAACAACTGGACGTTGGAAGGTCTCACAGAGGAGATGAGAGGGTAAGTCATGCAGAAATCTGGGAAAGGAGTGGAAAGGAGGGAACAGCTAAGGCAAAGCTCTGCCCTGGGGTGGGGTGGGGGCCATACCTGGCATGTTCCAGGAAGGATGGAAGCCAGCGTGGTGAGGAGATAGGAGGTGGGGTCAGAGGGTAAGGGGGAGGGGAGAGGCAGACTGTGAATGAACTGATGGGACCAGAGACCACAGCCTTCCGGTCCTGAGCATTTGTTCTTTCCCTAGGCATCCAGGCTGCGCTTGGCCCATGGCAGATGTTAATGCTTGGCACATAGTAGATGCTCAATAAATCTAGGGGTAAATGAGTGTGCAGATGGTTTTTAATCAGAGCCGGGTTGTAAGGAAATGAGAGTCATCCAGGACGACACTGAGGATTTTGTTTTCAGCAGCTAGAGGGACAGGGAAGCGATTCAGTGAGATACAATAGGATTGGAGAGAAATACGGGTGTTTTCAAACATTTTTCTAGTACGAAGGAAATTAACCATGCGGGAAAGTCCAGAGATAATGTAATGAATCTCCATATATCCACTTAGATGTCACAATTATTAATATTTTGCCATATTTGATTTACATATTTTTTCTATTTTCATTAAAAAATTTTCAATTACAGTTGATATTCAGTATTATATTCGTTTCAGGTGTACAGCACACTGGTTAGACATTTATATACCTTACAAAGGGATCCCCCCGATGAATCTAGTCCCCACCTGGCGCCATCCGTGGTTATTACAGTATTGACTGTATCCCCTATGCTGCACTTCACAGCCCCGTGACTATCCCGTAACTGCCAATTCGTAAGTCTTATTCTCTGATTGACGTATTTTTAACTGAAGTGCTGTGATATAAAATTATAGGCATCATGATATTTTTACCCCAAAGTAGTTTAGTATGCATCTCTGGGGGGGAAAATAGGACATTTTCTTATATAAGGACACTTTTGTACTTAATCTCAATGCTATTATCACACACACCATAATGAACAACTTTAATTATCTTAAATTTCTGTGCTTATCCTAAAAACATGCCTGTACCTTCGGCTCCTTTGAACTGGAATAGAAACTAGAGCCACACATTGCAGTGGTTAGTGTGTCTCTTAAACCTCTTTTGGTAGAAAATTCCTCCCCTCCCCTTTGATTTCCCAGATGAGCTGCCTTGTAGAATGTTCCCTGGCACTGTCTCACGGCTTCCTCAAGGGGCCATGCCACTGTTCCTTCGTCTCTTCTCCTCCCTATGAACTGGCCTTTGGATAACGACCTGGTTAGATTTAGGCGGCCCGAGGTCGGTAAGAATGCTACGGGAATGATGCTGTGTTCTTCATGTGACATCGTCTCGGGTGGCTGAGGGAGTGACGGCCTGGTCCCTCCGTTTTAGGGTTTGCATTTTTTCCTTTCATGACTCCTGGGAACATTCAGTTCTGCAGTGCCATTTATCCTAATGGTGTTAGCATCCACTGATGTTTGTTGCCTGGATCAATTCATTCATTTTCACCCTAATAAAATGACCATCACCAAGTTCTCTCATTCCTGCTACAATTATTAGCTGGGATTTTTCTATGCAGAAGAACTTCCCCTCATCTCTTGGGGCTAGTTGGTTACTTTGAAATACGGTTCCTAAAGGAAAGGCAGAATAAAACCTTTTTCCTTCCCCTTTAATTACCACTTTTAAGAATAAGGAGTTGATGTGATAGCTGCCTTCAGTGGCCACACTTATTGGTTCCTTTTGCTTCCTCTTTTTGCAGTATCATTATGAAATCATGGACTTTTTCCCCCAGTGCTTTTCAGAGAGAGTGGAAGGGGGAGAAAAGAGAGAGAGAAACGTCAATGTGAGAGAGACACATCGATTGGTCGCCTCCCCTTGACTGAGGCCGCAGATCGAGCCTGCAGCCGAGGTGGTGCCCTTGGCCGGAATCGAACCAGGGCCCTTCAGTCTGCAGGCCGGTGCTCTAACCACTGAGCGAACCGGCCAGGCTGGATTTTCTTTATGTGCAGTATTCTTCAGTCTATTGCAATCACTGTTCTCTTTGATGTTCACATTATCTTAACTTTAATCAGTGGAATTCCCTGCAGTATGGCTCCTGTGTCCTTCGACAAGATTCATTTAGTCTTGGAAAGTGTTTTGTTTTCTGGCCCAATAAACTGTCCCAGGCTCATTTTCTATATTCCTTCCCTCAGACCTGGACCAGCCATTCCTTCGGCTTCTTTTTAGCAGGAAAGTGTATTTAAAGGCAAAATAGGGGCTCTCAGGGTGCTCACTGCTACTGGGTTGCTGTTGCTTCTAATTCTTTTCAGTTGCCAAGATGTTTCATAGCGATGTTTCCAATTCAAGTCTAATGGTTCAGGATTTTCCTTAACTTATTTTAAACTCGATTCTCTTTTCTCTTAGACTAAAAATCTTGGTTTCTAACAACACAATTAAATATTTACCCTACAGGATACATAAAATAGTTTCAAAAGACAATACCAATATTACTAAAAAAAATTTAAAAAAAGACAACTGAGGGAAGATTAAGATTTCTTTGCTGTTTTTTGTCTTTATAATACATCCCACTATGGGTGAACTGTACAAGTGTATGTTGTAAGTTCATTTGAAATAATTTTTTTTCTGTATGGTTATACTAATATAGTATATTGCAATGTAATGTATTATGATGCAATCATATTATATTGTATATAACATTATTTTGTATCTTATATGTAACAATGGAGTGTGAGGCAAGGTCCTCAGCTCATAATGGGCAGGTAGAAAAGACGTTTGGAGGTTTGAGGAGAAAGAAAGGACGAGAGAATGATTTCATTGCCTCATTGAGTCTGTCCTGATGTTCTTTTGAGCCGAGGCAATCAGTCACAGAGCCTTCAATGGGCAGCTGTTGCAGGGTCCAGGAGGCAACCTCGGGTGGGGTGGGGGTGGGGCCCTGGTATCCCCCACCCCCACACTCCTCTGGGTATCTGAAGGTGAGGGGCCCAACTGGGACTGGGTGAGGAGAAAAGCCAGCTGCATATTCTTGCCTTCTAATTCATTCTTTCAACAAATATTTATTGTGCATCTACTAAGTGCCAAGAACCAAGCAGTGGGTTATTATGCAACTTCAGCAAACCAGATGCAGACCCCTGTGTTCATGGAGCCCACACCTTTGCACTGGCTGTTCCCTCTGCCTGGATCACTCGTTGCTGGATTCCAGAAAGAATGAATGAACACCCGGTGGGGCCTATGGGCTCCTGGCTGCCAGAGGGGCCAGGGCCTACAGCCCTCAACTTAGGGCCAGCTCCTGACACTTAGTTTGCCCTCTCCTGCCCCGCCCCCACCCTGTGTCCCTGCAGGACTACGAGAAGGCCCTGTTCTTCCCCTGCAAGGCGGCAGAGCTCGTCAGTGACTACGGCAAAGGCTGGAGCCTCAAGTACCGGGCCATGAGCCAGTACCACATGGCCGTGGCATATCGCCTGCTGGGCCACCTGGGCAGTGCCATGGAGTGTTGTGAGGTGGGGCAGCAGGGCAGGTAGTGGTGTGGGCCAGGATCTGGGGCCCAGAGCAGGTGGGCCTCCTCCTTCCAAATAGCCCACTGAGGCCCCAAGTCTTGTTCCTGGTCCAGCCTTTCTATAGCTGAGCCCCTGAAGGATGCGTGTTTCTCCCGTCCCAACCTCACTCCCTTCCAGTTCATTCTCATGGGAGGGGGCTTCCCTCTGCCCCCCACCACACATCCTCTGTGGGACACTTTAAGTAGGAAGAGAGTCATCTCTGAAGTTCCATTCACCTGGGTTTAAATCTCAGCTTTTCCCCTTACTAGCCAGGTGATCTTGATGGAGTCACTTCTGCTCTCTGAGCCTCAGGTTCCACTTTACTGGGTGCAGTGAGGCCACTGGTTAGGTGTGTGGGGCCTGAGAACCATGATTGGTGTATTGGGTTCTGAGGATGTTGGTGATCCCTGGGCTGCCCATGAGGGCTCCCCACTGGTAGGAGCAGATGAGCAGGCCCAAGTGACAGGCCTCTCTCACAGGAGTCTATGAAGATTGCCCTGCAGCATGGGGACCGGCCACTACAGGCGCTCTGCCTGCTCTGCTTTGCTGACATCCACCGGAGCCGTGGGGACCTGGAGGTGAGGTCACCAGGATGTGGGGCAGGGGGGCAGGCTTGGCCCAGCCTGACCCCACCCCCACCTGGCTGTGCAGACAGCCTTCCCCAGGTACGACTCTGCCATGAGCATCATGACCGAGATCGGAAACCGCCTGGGGCAGGTGCAGGTGCTGCTGGGTGTGGCCAAATGCTGGGTGGCCAGGAAGGCACCGGACAAGGTGAGGTCGGGTCCCCCCAGCTCTCCCAGTGCTCCCAGCCAACAATCTGTGGGGCTGGTCCTGGGCAGGACTCTTTCGGACACTTTGTCTAACATCAGCCTCATCCCAATCTAGGCGTTCCAGGCCATTTTCCAGGCTCAGAGAAGGCCCGGGTGTTGCCCAGTCACACAGCTAGTAAAGGGCCAGAGCTGGGGTTCGAACTCAGGATGCTTTAACTGCTTCCCGTGATAGCATGACACCCTGCAACTCAGAGATATTTTTCCCCTTCTGTACCTGAGTAAACTGAGGCAGGAGACAACACCCACACAGCTCTTACAGCTGCACCCCAGTCTCTTCTTGCTACTTTTGCACACAGGGCAGCTGTCCAGCCATGTCACCCTCCCCACGCCCGCCTCTCCCTACCCCTTCATTTCCTATGAGCCAAGGCCTCTGTCAGACACCTGTCCACAGCCCTGGCCTGTGCTCACCTTCCAGGCTCTGGATGCCATCGAGAGAGCCCAGGACCTGGCCGAGGAGGTGGGAAACAAGGTCAGACCTGATTCTGTCTCCTGGGTCTGGAGTCAGGAGCCCAAGGTGGGATCGTGGGTGGGTGGAGAGGGCCCCCCCGAGTCCTCTCATGCCCTGAGCCCTTCCGGATCTCCAGGAGTTGCTCCAGCCATCCCCAGACCCCCGCTGTTTCTCTTCCACCCAGAGAGTGCTTCCAAGGGCTAGGCGAGAAGTCCCAGCTGGAGGATATCAGAATTCCTCAGGGCCTTGATGGTCATTAAAACTCCCAACAGTGGCTTCCACTCACTGAGAGCTGGGCACCACGGGGCTCTTGTAGGTACTGCCTCCAGTCCTCACTGTCTCCCTGCAAGGTGGGTATAGCGAGCCCCATTTCACAGATGAGAAAAGCAAGGCTCACAGGGGTGCTCACTACCTGGTAACTGGCCTGTCTTAACTCTAAAGATTTGTGGCCTCTCCAAATTTAATAATTGTATCTAAACCTTTCAACATTGAAAATAGGCTCAGTGTTTCTCAAAGTCTTCTAGATGTGCATTTCTCTGGGAGTGGGTAATAGTCCTAAGATGCCAAATATATGTGCCTTTGGCTTGGTTAGATCCACTTGGGTTTACCTAAGTATCTTGGGCTGGTCAGAAGTGCTAACAAGCTGTTGTGTATATTTAACTAATGAGAACAGGAACACGATTATTATGGAGTCAGTGCAGCAGGTTTGGTCAATAAAACCCTTCAAAAACATGGGGTCTCCGGCTGGTTCTGGGGTGAAGACTGCTGACCTTACCACCCCCTCATTCTGCATGAGGGAAAACCACGGCCCAGAGAGGGCAGGACGCTTTTCCTAGGTCCATCAGCCAGGCAGGAATGTGCCTAGGACTGCGCGCTGCATGACCTGACTGCCCGGTGACCCTTCTGGGATGGCTTCTTGGGCTGGGCAAGGAGGGAGGCGGGACAGCTGCTCACCAACACTGACCTGGTCTCGTTCCCTCCACCCACTCTCCTGTCTCGGGGGGCCCAGCTGAGCCAGCTGAAGCTGCACTGTCTGAGCGAGAGCATCTACCGCAGCAAGGGGCTGCAGCGGGAGCTGCGTGCCCATGTAGTGCGTTTCCATGAGTGCGTGGAGGAGACAGAGCTCTACTGTGGCCTGTGCGGGGAGTCCATAGGCGAGAGGAACAGCCGGCTGCAGGCCCTGCCCTGTTCCCACATCTTCCACCTCCGGTGAGGGCTTCCGCCGGCTGGGACAGGGGCACACAGGCCTCTTTGGGGTGCTCTAGGGCCTAATCACAATAGTAACAGCAGTTCCTAAAAACAGTTCCTAAAAACTTCCCATATATTAACTCATTGAATCCTCCCAGGGGCCCTGTGAGGTGGCCATTCTTACAATCATTCTTCCCCAAGAGAATTCAGAGAGGCCTCTGAAAGGCCATGGCGTTCAGACACCTGGAGGCGCGCCCCTTCCAGGCCAAGTGATGGGGCAAGCAGGGTTGCACACAGGGGTCTGGGGCCATCTTCTTCCTTTGACACCTTCCAAGCCCCTGCAGAAGAGGGGGTAGGAGAGGGAGGCACTGGCCCAGGATGGAAGGACTGGCTCAGTGAGTAGACAGAGCCCTTTGCCTCCCAAGGTGCCTGCAGAACAATGGGACACGGAGCTGCCCCAACTGCCGCCGTTCTTCCATGAAGCCTGGCTTTGTGTGACCTCGCTGGCAGTCGTGGACTTCTGCCTCACCTCCTCCGCTCCTTCTCCACCATCATGCTGGAGACCCCTGGCCACATCTTGGACGCCTGTTTACTCCTGGGGCAGCCACTAGGACCTCCTCGGGCCTCCACCAGGGCCTGGGGCCTGCCCACAGCTGCCCTTCAAGGCCCCGCTGCTGCCCCCCACCTCTTTGTACTTTGCTCTTTATAGAAAAATAAACCATTTGTACCTGGTCCCAACGATTCTGACTTTCCCTGCCCATGTGAGCTTCCTCAGACACAAGCATACCTCTGCACATATGAGTCAGTGCCTCCAGCCGCCCTTCTAGGTTCTTTGGATGCGAGTGAGCCAGAGACAAAGATCCCTGTGGGGAGGAGCTGCTGACATGCAGGGGTGGGTGGGAGGATTCGATAAACAGTAAATATAATAAGCAACATAGAAGGTCTGTTAGAAAGATGTTATGGACTGAATTGCGTTCCCCAAAGTTGGTGTGTTGAAGCCCTAACACAGAGCAGAGGACACAGGTGCAACAAATGAGTCTCATTTGATCCAAAGAGATCTGTCCTACTCAGTGAGATGAAAAGAAATGATTACACACAATGGAATACTATGCAGCTGTAAAAAAGAAGGATCTCCTACCCTTTGAGACGGCATGGAGGGAACTAGAGAGTATCTTGCTAAGCAAAATAAGACCGTCAGAGAAAGACAAGTATCACACGATCTCACTCCTATGTGGAATCTAATGAACAAAATAAACTGATGAACAAAACAGATCTGGAGACATAGAAGCATGGAATAGACTGACCAATCTCAGAGGGAAGAGGGGAGAGGGAGGCTGGAAGAAATTAACCAAAGAACTTATATGCATAGATGCATAGCTTATGGACACACAATAGTGTGGTGAAGGCCTGGGGGTGCCAGGGTGGAGGGGGTCAATGGGGGGAAAAAGGTGACGTCCGTAATACTTTCAACAATAAAGATAAAATTTTAAAAATCTGTTCTGACAATTTTTTTAAAAAAGAAATGATTACAGACATGATGTTCAATTTTGAATTGTAGAGGTTGATAGCCAATCGAGCTCTTCCCTCATGGGCAATTCTGTGGCACCTGCTCTGAAGTTGGTAGCAGCAGTGATCTCTCAGACTGGTTAAGGATTCTCTCAGGTAACCCTGGGTGGCCAGCTTCTGCTTTAATAAATAATGACAAAAATGCTCCCTGAGGTGTCATGCCCCCTCACCTTTTTTCTTTTCTTTTTTTTGCCCTTTGCACACGGCTGGCGCGTAGTTTGGGAGGGAGAGCGGTTGAGTGACTCCCCTGATTCCTAACTGGGCCAGCCTCAGAGGTTCAACGACTCTCTCCAAAGCGCCCTTTCAGTTATGGGCCAAACTAAGACTACATTTCCCAGTGGCCTTTGCGGCTCTCGTCTTTCTCCCTCCCCTTCCGGTTATACATCCAGGCCCCGCCCACTGCGCTCGCCGGCCAATAGTGCAGCATAAACAGGACGAGGGCGGGAACGTTTCAGGAGGCACGGGGGTGGGTCCTTTGGCCCGCGCGTCGCCTTTTGAATCAGAGAAGCAGATTCGTTGTGACAACGCGGCCGTAGATAAATCGCCTAGAGTCAGGACTTGAAGAAAGAGGTCTGCTACTAGCCAAGGGCTGGTGCGAAGAAAGATAGTACTAATTTTCTGCCACGGGTCTCGCCCAGTGCGATCTTCGATCTGTTCCTCTAGGAAATGAATCTGCTGCCGGAACTCGAGAGTCCAGTGACTCGGCAGGAGAAGATGGCGACCGTGTGGGATGAGGCCGAGGTGCGCGCTGGGAGAGCTGGGGGTCCTAGAGCTGGGGCCAGCGGGGAGACCACCTTGGCGGGAGGGGAGGAGGTGCCTGGGGGTCAAGGGCTGGCCCTGTCCCGGGGTCGCGGCCGCTTGGAATGTGAGTAAGGAACCCGACTCCTTCATTCTAGTCTTATGGACGGGGAAACTGAGGCTGTGAGTGGGCTTGGAGAAAGCGGATACCTGCCCTCAGTTTAAAAAAAAAAATTTTTTTTTTTTAACAGCAAGATGGAATCGGGGAGGAGGTGCTCAAGATGTCCACAGAAGAGATTATCCAGCGCACGCGGCTGCTGGACAGTGAAATCAAGGTGGGCATACGGGGCAGGTCCAGGTGATCCCAGCCGCCTCCCCAGGGGAGGCATGGGGACCGTGGTTTCCTACTTGGGTCAGAAAAAGAGGAAAGAAAACTAAGCCTTAAGAGGGACAGGGTGTTGGGAGACCAGGCTTGAGAGTAGGAATCATCACACTACCTTTCGCAACGAGGTCTAAAAGTGTTCCTCTTGATAATCCTTCTTTTAGGGAATCTTCATTTTACAGATGAGGAAACTGAGACTCAGAAGGTTTTTATTTTGAACTACCCAGCCCTTAATAAAAGGTGGAAGCTAACATCTCTATTTGTTTGACCCAAAGTCTTGCTCTTTTCCCTTTACTACAACTACTTCAGCAGGAGGTTGCCAGGCTGGCCGCCTGTTTGACCTCAGGCTCAGCCTTCGGAGAGCCTAACAGCTGAGTGGGCGGGTGTGGGAGGGTCCCCTGGGCAGCCTGGACCTCACCCATTACAAGGCTCTGGAATAAACTGAGCCAAGGCCGAACATTTGCTTCCACTGGTCTTCATCCCAGATTATGAAGAGTGAAGTGTTACGAGTTACCCACGAGCTCCAAGCCATGAAGGACAAGATCAAAGAGAACAGTGAGAAAATCAAAGTGAACAAGACCCTGCCGTACCTTGTCTCCAACGTCATCGAGGTGTGTGTGTATGTAGAGGGGAAGAGAGGGGTTAGTGGGGCTTGGAAAACAGCCTGTGATGGGCCTTTGGGGAAAGAGTGGGTAAAGTTTTGAGGCCCAAATTGCATATTGGGGCACCCCTCCAATGGTTCCCTTCCTGGTGTGCATTTTTAGGGGGATATATAAGGCCGGAAAAGGCCTCAGAAGGCTCACATGTCTTCTTTTGTACTGGTTATTTTTACTTGGGGATGCAGAGAAGCATCACCTAAACAGCGATCTTATCAATCCCATGGTTTATCCACTGCACTTGCTGAGCTCAGGGCTAGTCTGAGGAGTGATGCAGGGATGGCCAGCCCTGCAAGTGTTGGGAATGTCTCAGACCAACACTGGCTCTGGGGAATTCAGTGGGCTCAGCAGGGCCTCTTCATCTAAGCTTTTCCCTTCCCAGCTTTTGGATGTTGATCCCAATGACCAAGAGGAGGATGGTGCCAATATTGACCTGGACTCCCAGAGGAAGGGCAAGTGTGCGGTGATCAAGACCTCCACACGACAGGTGAGGCTGGTTCAATAGTAGGAGAACTGAGAAGGGTGAGGGGTGTGTGTGTGAAAGGACTAGAGAGCCTTACTGAGGGCAGTAACTGAGGCTGCTTCTTGAATTTTTCCTACAGACATACTTCCTGCCTGTGATTGGGTTGGTAGATGCTGAAAAACTGAAGCCCGGAGACTTGGTGGTGAGTTGTGTCCCTGAGTGCAGGAAGAACTTTTCTAGTGAAGTTTCTCCCATGGACCAGCATGCCCTGCCCCAGGCTCAGGTCACTGTTGGCCCTGAATCTCAGCAGAGCAGCCTGAAGAATCAGATCCTGTCTACCTGCTCTTTGAATTTTGTGTTACCCATTTCCATATCACTTTTCACTCTGTAGACACCTGTCACCCAGCCAATTAGTTAAGCCTTGAGCTGGGACAAATCTGAAGGCTTTGTGCTGTGTCCCCAGGGTGTGAACAAAGACTCCTATCTGATCCTGGAGACTCTACCCACAGAGTATGACTCACGGGTGAAGGCCATGGAGGTGGACGAGAGGCCCACAGAACAGTACAGTGACATCGGGGGCTTGGACAAACAGATTCAGGAGGTGAGGGAGGCGTAGCAGCCATGCCAGCCTTTTGTATTTTTCTGCTTCATTAACCAGGGCACTTCCCCCTGATGTGCGTCTTATCTTCCTAGCATTTTAGGAAGGCAAGAAGGATGCCATGTGACAGTTTAGGAGACTGAGATCCAGAGAGATTGAATAACTTGCTTGGGACTATAGAAGGTTAAAGCCAGAGCCAGGACTGGAACTCAGGCTCGGTGTGAGTTCCGAGCTGGAACTGTAACTCCACCGTATCGTGCTGTTCCTGGAGAGACCATAGTCAGCCTTGGTGGGAGTGAGCGTTCTGCTTGTTCTCTCGATATGGGGGAAGGAGAGGGCAGTGTCCCTGAATTGGAATAGGAGGGTTACAGATTGGGGTTGAAACCATTAAAAGTTGGGCAGTAGGAGCCCTCAGGGCTTCACTCTCCTCACTCAGGACTTCTTCCTGGTAGCTGGTGGAGGCCATTGTCCTGCCAATGAACCACAAGGAGAAGTTTGAGAACTTGGGGATCCAACCTCCAAAGGGGGTGCTGATGTATGGTCCCCCGGGTACTGGCAAGACCCTGCTGGCCCGGGCCTGTGCTGCACAGACCAAGGTGAGTGCTTTGGGAAGGATGGAGAAGGAACGGGCGGGCCTGAGCACTACAGGCCCAAAGGGGCCTCTCAGAGGGACTTCTCATGGTGCTTTTGGCCTGATTCTGTCAACCCCCATTCCTGCCCTACCCAGGCCACCTTCCTGAAGCTGGCTGGCCCCCAGCTGGTGCAGATGTTTATCGGGGATGGGGCCAAGCTGGTCCGGGATGCCTTTGCCCTGGCCAAGGAGAAAGCTCCATCCATCATCTTCATTGATGAGCTGGATGCCATCGGCACCAAGCGGTAAGGTGCTGGGTTTCACCAAGGAGATTATTCTAAGTTCCTACTGTCCCACCCTGTCCCCTTTTCTTGGGTGATGGCAGCTCTCCTTTTGTGTTCTACTTCCTAAATTCTCCTCTAACCAGCCTCCTTTCTGCTTATCTCTCCCCCGAACATCCATTCTCACAGCTGCCTGCATGTTCCTTGCAAAGCCTGGTCACATGCACACATAGTCCCTCACACAAACAGATCCTACTTAAAACCCTTCCTGAGCCTTCTCCATTGCTCCTTGGGGTAAATGCTTGGGCTTGCCATGGGCTATAAGGCCCCCTGTGTGGTTGTCCCTGCTCCCCTCTGGCCTCATGCCTCCCCCTCCCTCTGGCTCTGCAGTGGGAGAGATTCTGCACTTGCTGTTTCCTCTCTGGAATGTACTTTTGGTTTTTCCCTTTTCTCTAGTGATTGGTTGCCCAGCTGATGTGTTTTCAGCCTTTAGATCTCAGCTGAAGGACACTTCCTCAGAGACACCTGCCTAGGTTCCCTTATGCTCCAAGTCTGGGCTGGAGCCCTGTAGGTTTAAGCTTTGCTCAGTTTGCAATGGCATGTTCATCAGAGCACTAGCCCAGGCAGTGGTTTTGCTCACATTTTATCCTCAGCTTCAGCACCTGATTCCAGCAGCCTCTCCAGTCTCTGAATGTTGGAATCAGTAGTTACTGACACCTTTTCTGTGCTAGTCCCTGGACTGGGGACCCCAAGTTGAGTGAGACATTTCCCTACCCTGGACAGGTTGGGTGGGTGGAGGAGGAGGGGAGGGCTCTGCCCAAGCGGTGGCCTCACCAGTGTCTTTGGCCTCCTATGGGCCTCAGCTTTGACAGTGAGAAGGCCGGGGACCGGGAGGTACAGAGGACGATGCTGGAGCTCCTCAACCAGCTGGACGGGTTCCAGCCCAACACCCAAGTAAAGGTGAGTATTGTTGAAGATAAAGAACACAGGGCTTAGAGGTCAGGTACCTCCTTGGTCACCTCGCTATTGCAGGTATAATAGGAATTGGGATTTGTCTTGAACGTCCCCTGTCCATTCACCTGGACCCTGGGCTGTCTTTCTGCCTCTCATGGCCATGACTATTAGCTCACTGAACCCCTTTCTCCTCAATTCAAACTGCTACTACTTCCCTTGTTCAGGTAATCGCAGCCACCAACAGAGTGGACATCCTGGACCCTGCCCTGCTCCGCTCTGGTCGCCTGGACCGAAAGATTGAGTTCCCGATGCCCAATGAGGAGGCCCGGGCCAGAATCATGCAGATCCACTCCCGAAAGATGAACGTCAGGTGAGCAAGGACACCACGAGCAGGGCGCTGAGCTCTGAAGGGGCCGCAGCAGAGTGGCCTGTTTCTCCTCTTTGTATTGAGCTTCCCCAGGCCTCCGCCCGTCCCTTTTCCTTTCCATAGCCCGTTCACACAGCACTATTCCACACAACCACCTCCGTTTCTCCCAAGATGCCTGAGGTAGCCTTGTTGGGGTTAAGACCCTAATTCTGCCTGCTCTGCTCCTTAGAACCCACCTGCCCCCCTCCTTCCCCACAATAGGAAGGTCTCCCGGCCTCCCTGATATCAGCAGATGGGCACAGCCCAGCATGGTCCAGGGGGATCCAGCCAGGGGCCAGATGGACCTGGGTTCAGATCTCTGGAATCTTCAGCATGTAACATAACCTCTCTAAGCCTCAGCTTTCTTGCCTGGGACTTGGGGATAATGGCACCAATGTTACAGGGTTGTGGCAGTGTCAAGCATAGTGTTCGGCATGAGAGATCATAAAGTGGCAGCAGCAAGTGGACTCAGGGCCTGTTAGGAGAGGGGAGTGGCCATTTATGTTCCACACCCTCCTGCTTCCCCGCCTCAGCCTGAGTCTATCCCTGGGGTCTCAGGTACAGATTTCTAGAAGATAGAGCTCAAGACAGAAATCACCTGGTCTGACCTCTCACTGCCCCTCTTCCTCCCCTTAGCTTTTGACATGAAGAGAATGAAGCACAGAGTGAGTTGACTTGATGGGGCAGTGTGGGGGCACATCTGCTCCCCTTGCCCTATCCTCATAAGTAACTCAGCCTTGTTGCATCTGTCTTCCCACAGTCCTGATGTGAACTATGAGGAGCTGGCCCGCTGTACAGATGACTTCAACGGGGCCCAGTGCAAGGCTGTGTGTGTGGAGGCGGTGAGTGGTGGGGTGAGGTGGGTGAGTGGGTGCTTCCTGCCCCTTTCCCCGGACAGGGCCGGAGTTCTTTGGCCAGTGGAAACTGCTGAGGGCAAGAGGCTGAGAAGGCTGTGACCCCTGGGAGCTGGGCCAGGCATGCGGGGAGGCACCCTAAAGCTTCTGTGTCCTGGGTGCAGGGCATGATCGCACTACGCAGGGGTGCCACGGAGCTCACCCACGAGGACTACATGGAGGGTATCCTGGAGGTGCAGGCCAAGAAGAAAGCCAACTTGCAGTACTATGCCTAGGGTCACCTGCCACACCATTCCCGGCCGTCTTGCTGGTTAAAATTCATAATAAAAGATGGTTTCAGGTCTCTGCCACCTGTCTGTCTCTGAGTGGAAGAGTGGAGGTGTTCACTCGAGGCCCCTTCCCCACGTGTTGGTGCCTGGAAACTCAATACAGCTGTGGGCCTCAATCCAGTTGTCAAGGCAAGGTGCCCTCAGAGGGTTGACTGCGTCCTGCAGCTGGCCTCGCCCACCGTGTGCCTCCAGACCCCTCTCCCCCACTCCCTGCCCCACCTCTCTGAGCTTTCAGGCTTATGGCACTGAAGCTCTAGAATGAAGGCCCTAAATAGAGCCAGCCTTTCCCTTTTCGCATTTTGGTGCTCTGGCCCTTGGCCTTGCTTCCTTGAAAAGCCAGGCTCTGGGTCTTTTCCCCTTGAAACTCCTTTGTCTCCTGGCCTCCAAGCCTCCCGTTTCTCCACATGCCCCCATTAACTCTTTTGGCTCATTTCCTCTGGCTGAAAAATGAACCTTGAGCAAGATCTTGGTCCCATATTCTTTGAAACCCCCCTGAATGGCCTTTTAGTAACAGCTTTTCACAACTCATCAGTTCTCGTTTGTCCTCTGGCAAAAGCCCCTACACCCTCCTTTTCCCTTGTCCCCTCTCCCAAGGGACATGCCTACCGTAGGCTACTGACTGGACCTGAGCCTTTCTAGAGGTCTGGGCTCCTAACCCACACTGATCCCCTCCCCTGTAGTCTCAGCACCTCCAGGCCCACCTTCCTTCCAAAGTGCCTTGATATGCACCCACATGTCTCGGCAATCCCACTGACTTCCCACCCCATGCCTGAGGAGCCCCTGGCAGAACCTCTGTGAAGCCCTGGTTCTGTCCCCTGCCTGGCTCAGCTGCCCCATTCCTGCATTCCCTGTTCCCTGGGGCATTCACCTGTCTGTGGCATCCTAATAAACCTGCACGCTCCACCTGAGGCTCAACACAGGAACCTCAGCAGTGTCAAGGGGAGGGTGGGGGCTAGCCAGAGCCTGGGTTCCTTCGACAGATTAGGTGCAGGTCCACCAGATCCTGGGTATGTAAGGCGCAGCGGATCCCTTTTTTGCAGAAAAGCGATTCAGAGCCAGACTGAGGGTACAGCAATTTGGGCTTCACAGCCCCTGTACCAGACTAGGTGATGCTGTGCAGACATGCTGCTCTCTGCCAGCAGGCTACTGCAGGCTGTCCTTGGCTTGGAAAAAGTGGGTGGGGCTCCACTTCCCCTTCTGATTTCTCCTGATAGCAGTGCCCCCTAGTGCCTGATCCTGTCATTACACCCAGCACATTCAGAGGTGAGGGTCTGTAGTTTAGAATAAGGATCCCGGTTTTTTTTTCTTTTTAATGAAAAAATAATTTAATTGAGGCTAAACCTGGAGATGCCTTTGTGCATGGAGCTCCCTTCCTTGATTAAATTACTCAGGGGGCAGGCTGGGGAAAAGCCACTAGCCTGTAGATCTATATAATGAGGAAGCCAGCCACCTTTGGGGGTGCTGTGGGCTACAACAGTGCCAGGCTTGTCTTATTGGGACAAAAAGCTTACAAGACAAGCCAGGGAAATGTGACGTGCTACCCTGTTCTGAGAAGCACTGCAAGGATAACAGTTCAGAGATAGCACAAAGCAGAGGGTGGAAGGTGGGGACGAGATTGGCAGCAGCCAGCAGGAGCCTGGGCCATGGAGCTGCCAGCCTGGCTGGAGCACGGATGCCCAGAATAACTCCGGTCAACTGTGGTTGATGGTGCGCAGGACAGAGGCAGCCAGTTTGTGTATAATATTTATTTGCATCTTATATATAGAATAGGTATTTACAGATACAAACGGAATCAGCAAAACTGCTGTAAAACTATTCAGACCCTCTTGATGGCCACTTCTGAGCAAGTCCGCGGTCGATCAGCAGGGCTGGGGCCTGGCTGTGGAGTGGGCCAGCTGAGTACCTGGGCGTCAGCCAAGGGAAATAGCTGGGGATTATGGCTTCAGCATTCTCCCAGAGCACATTCCTGAGTGCTGACAACATGGAGTGCTCACCACCCCCACCTCAGCCCTACTGGGACAGTAAAAGGGGCCGGAGCAGGGAGGGGCAGCCATGAACCACTCTCTTTCTGCCCCCAGAATATCTGCCTGGCCCCTGTGCTGGCATGAGCAATCCTGAGCTGGCTTGGGAGGCCTCTCTTGCCCAGGGCTGCTGGCTGCCCTGCAGGCTGCTGTTTGGCAGCTAGAGGTGGCAAGAGCTGCTGGTGCTGCCAGGGAGCATTTGCTGGGGGACAGGAGCTGGCCCAAATCTTAGAAAGCATCTCCCAGTTTCATGCTGGGAGGGGTAGGGCTGTCAGTGCTGAGTGGGGCTGGGGGCTGCAAGAGCACCTGCCTTTCCTTTCTTTGGCCTTAGAGCTGGCAGAGGAGCCAGGACCATGGATGCAGCAAAGAGAAGTCACCTCCACCTTGGCTGCTAGGCTGCCCAGGGCTGGGTGCATGAGCAGAGGGGTTTACTCTCAGCCAGGGACCTGTGAGGCCCCAGTAGGAGACAGCTTTGGGGTTCCCTGCAGCCGAGGGCTCCTTGGGCTGCCCTTCACTCCCCTTGGGGTCCTGGTGGGGAGAGGCCTCAGTTTGGGACCAGTGCTGGTTTCCTCACTGCTCTCTCTGGGAGGTGCAAGATGACAGGGTGGCAAGGAGGGAGGACCACAGTGTGGCTAGGGATGGGCGTGGGCACTGGGTCCTGGGCCCAGTGCATGAGGGATCACAGTGTCGGTCTCACACACTTGTGTTGGTCTCACACACCTCTGTCCACACGTGCACACCACACACACACACACACACACACACCATCCTCTTGTCTAGTCGGAGGCCTGCTGGCTCTGACACTCGCCCTCTCTGCCTTCACACATGGTCACAGAGTAAATCCAAGTCTTGTTGTGAGGGGTGGGGTGTCAGGGATGGTTACTCCACGAAGAGCGAGAACAGCACCATCACCAGGATCCCCGCGCAGAGCAGAAGCACTTGCTGCAGGGAGTGCCTGTGGGGACAGGAGACAGGGCTCAAGGGTGGCACTGGGTGAGGGGGAGGGGAAGAGGCCAGAAAAGCCCTCCTTGAGCCTCTAAGGGCCCCGTGAGTGGCAGTCCTAGTGGGTCACTCACCATGGGTCATCTTCCTCCAAGAGGTCGGGTAGCACGTTCACCAGGGCGATGTAGAGAAAGCCACCAGAGGTGAAAGGCAGGATCCAGGCCACAGTCTCCTCTGTGGTGGGAGAAGGCCCGACTGGCTGGGAGCCCAGGGGAGCTGGGTTACCTCACCCCCTCCCTCAGGGTAGACTGAGGGCAGAACCAGGCCTCAATACCAGGGGTGGGGCAAGTGTGCCCTTGGCTGGGACCCCTCTGCTGACTGCCACCTGCCCCACCACTCACCACTCCCGTACCTACTCCCTTGGGGGACTGTGTACAGATGGCGAAGCAGGCGCCCAGCAGGCCCCCCAGTGCCGTAGAGAGCTGCAGCTTGGCTGCGCTCCATCGGTCAAAGCCGGCCCGGAGCAGGATGGCAAAGTCGCCCACCTGAGGGAAGGTCCAGATGATCACTCTGGGTCCCAGGAGGACCAGGCCCCCTGAGCACCTCGGGGATGAACATGCACACTGAGCCCCCTGCACCAACCCTGCTGCTGGGCCCCTAGCCCGCATCCCCTTGGCTGAAGCACAGCTGAGATGGTGGCTGCAGCCCTGAGCCTGCCACTGCAAGGCAGTCTCCCCCCCAATCCCTCTGCCAAGCCCCAGGCCCCCAAAGCTGAACGGGGACCCTCTGGAACTCACCTCATGGGGGATCTCATGCAGGAGGATGGCCATGGTGGTCAGGAGCCCGATCTGCAGGAAGGGGAGTCTGTGGGGGTCTGTGCCCAGGGCCAGGGCACCCATTGGTCCACTCAGTCTACCCATGTTTACTCTGCTCTCAGTGCCCTGCCTGGCCACCGTGTGGTGACTAGATATACAGTAGCCAATCAAACAGACAAGGAAGCTGCCCTCATGGAGCTTACAGTCTGGAGGAGGGCGGTCACGACTGAGTCAACACACAAAGAGCCCTGTGGTCACACACTGTGATAGTTGCTCGGGGGAAGGACTGGGTGCTTTGGGGCATGAGTAGTGGGGAGGCCTAATCAGAGGAGGGTCAGCAAAGTCCTCTAGGAGGAAGTGCATTTAAGCCAAGGCCTAAAGGCTGAGGAGCCAGCGTTGAGAGCGGGAGGAAGAGCATTCAGCGCGAAGTGGAGGCCATGAAGAAGGAAAGAGCTTGGGTGTTCACAAGTAGGTGGGCAGAGGAAGGTGGGGGAGAAGCATCTAGAAGCAGGCAGGCAGAGGCCGAGCAGCCTGGCAGAGGCTTGTGATCCCAACAAGGGGTGTTCACAGCAGGGAGAACAGACCAGTGGCTTGGGACAAAAGAAGGCCGTATCCAGGAGAGCAACAGGGAGGACTGGGGGCTCAGATGAGGGTGTTGCTGATGCAGGGAGCAAGAAGTGATGGACTGGAGACCTATTTTGGAGGTAGAGCCAACTGGTCAACACAAGCACCATCACTCCCACTGGAATTGCCTGGGCCCCACCTACCCCAACCCCCACTCACCTTCTTGCTCACAAGGAAGCTGGCGGCCACAGCCAGCCCATGAGTGAAGTTGTCTATGGTGTTGGCCAGCAGGTTGAGATAGCCACTGACCTGGGTGAGGGGAGAGAAAGCTGGCTGAACCAGGCATGCAAGGTTGAGCTGGGCTGGCCACTCAGGGCGGGATGGCTGCAGGAGGAGGGGGCCCTGAGTGGGCCACTCACTTTGATGCTCCGGACCACGGAGCTCAGGCCAGGCTCTGCAGCCGGCTGGGCCAGATAGAGGCCTCCATTGAGCGCGGCAGCAGCAGCAGGGTCTTTGCTGGGGGCCTAGGGCCAGGAGAAGGAGGGAGAGGTGACATTAGATGCCCCCCACTTGACTAGGTTGGACACAGAAGGGAAGCGAGAGACAAAGAAACAGAGAGAGGGAACACCCCTTTTCTCTGCCTAGATTTCTCTGCTGCTTGATCAGCTGATGCCCCCCAAACTCAATATACTGTCCACCTCCCGCGCTGCTGTCACTATCAGTCTCCGAATAAGCCACAGCAGGGGCTGATTTGGTCACACCCCAGATCCCCAAACAAGCTGGCCCAGCCTCCCAGAGGTCCCAAAAAAAGGCCAAGAGACTGTCTTTTCAGGGTTCAACTCAAAACCCGAGCCTCCAGGCCCTAGTACCACCACAAAACAGAGACTGAGATATCCAGATCGTGGGGCTTGGGGCTCACCTGGTTGGTCCTCTCCTGCTCCTTTCTGTCCAGGAACATCTTCTCCAAAGCCAGGAAAGTCAGGAAGCCAGCAATGATCCACAGCCCCAGTTGCTGTTGCTGCTGCAGGCTCTGCCTCTCACCACCTGCAGAGGCAGCACTGACAGGCCAGGCCAAGCCAAGCCAGGACAATAGAAGGGGGGCCATCTGGACTGGGACCTAGTCCAGGGTAGGGACAGAGGCAGGGGGCCAGGACTGGCTGGTGGGGCAGCGGTGCCCCAGGGACTCCCACAGGAATCAGGACAAATTCCCTGCCAGATACCCGGAACCCCTCTCCCAGCCATTCTGCCAGAGCATGCACGGCCTAGGCCATTCCTGGGCATGGGTACCAGCTCCCCTCCAACCCCCACCTTCCTGCCCCAGCCTGCAACCTCACTCACCAAGGCTGGAGCTGCACGTGTAGGCCCAGGCCTCAGGCAGCAGGTGGAGAAACACATTGCCCAAGAGTCCCCCCAGGGCAAAGCTGAGCAGCTGCTTCAGGCGCTGGGCCCCAGCTGTAAGGCAGAGATGTGGGGCCTAGAAGCTGACCCACCAGGACTCCTGGCCTGGCCTCTGTCCCACACAGCTTACTAGGCTCTTTGTGTTGTCCCAACCAGAGTGTAAGCCTCTAGAAGGCTGGACATGGCCTGCTGCCCTTCCTGGGTTCCCCATCCCCCAGGCCCAGCAAGGGCTGGGTGTTCAGCAGAAATACACCCTGACTTGCTGATTGGCTGCAGAGCCACTACTGCCTTGTGGTTAAGGTCCCATCTCCCCAACCCACCAGCTGGTGCCCTTGCGACTCAGTTTTCCCTTCTGTAAACTGGGGATAATTGTACCTATTTGATAGGGATCTTGTGGGAATTCAGTGACAGTACATATAGCTAGTGCTCATTAAATGGGAATTTTCTTTTCTTAGCCACTGTTATTCTCAGAAAAGTGACAGAGACTTGAGGACTTTTGCCAACTTGCAGCATCCAGAGTTAGAAGTGCCTGAGGGGAGCCATGTCCAAAGCCTTGGTGTGAAAGAAACTGAGGCCCAGAGGGCAGAGGCAGCTTGGAGGTAGGACAGCAACTATCCCAGGGGAAACTGCTTCTAGGCTGTGTGACCTCAGGTTGGTCAAAGAACCTCTCTGTGCCTGTGCTTCCCTATTTATAAAATGGAGCTAATAACCCAAGTTCTCCCTACACTGAACTCACAGGTCACAGGAATGCCATGAGAGGGACTGAGCTGATGAGCAGACACGACAGCAGGGCCCCAGGAGGGCTCCATTCACAGCTGTGGCAGCAGTCCTCAGCCCAGTGACTGAATGAACAAGGAAGCACAAGCGCCTGGAGCCCTCATTTCCAAGATTCCTGGGGCTCTGGTCCAGACTTACTGTCATACTCTTGGGTGGGGGCGAAAGGCACCTGTGTTTTTAGCTGCTCCCCATCTGATCTCGTGGACTTTTCATTACAATGTGTCATTTGTGGATAGACAGTACTTGCATGTCATATGAAAGGGTAGCCAAGGAAAAGCTTCCACCCGTGCCTGTGCCCTCTTCCCGGACCCTCTCCCCAGAGGCAGGCCTGTGACCAGCCTCTCATGTGTTCCTGGGGCTTCTGGTTTGAGAGCTCTTTTGCATGATGAGCGAAGACTAAAGGGAGTGCTTTGCTGGCCATTGCATCCGCACACCCAGCACAGGACCCACAAACACGCAGCCTTCTCCCTGCACCAGGCGGTGCTTTACTGATATGAGTTCATTTAATAGTCACAACAGTGCCTATGAGGTAGACACTGTTGTTAGCCCATTTTTAGGGTTGGGAGCTGGAGGCAGAGTGAAGGTAAGTGGCAGAGCTGAGATTTGAACCCAGGTAGGCTGACATCCATATTTCTAACCACTATCTACACGGTTCCTTAGTGACTGTCTGCTGACTGCTATTCTTTCAGGATAAAAGAGCTCACAAGTGAATGAGCAGAGGGGCATGGTGCACCCTGGTCTTACAGGACCGAGGCGAGAAATTGTACTCTGTCCTCGCCTTCCACCTCCGACACGCTGTAACCCAGGATGTGAGACCCGGCTCTTTGTGGACGAGCAGCATGTTTCCCAAGCTGGTGGCTGCCCCGGTGCCAGAGGAGGGTCACCCACCTTCTGAGCGCAGTGTGGCCCCCATCTCCAGGGGAATGACGAGCAGCGGGAAGACCCCGCTGAGTCCCACCATGAGTGAGCCCAGGAGGGAGCAGATCCAGGTGTCCAGCCTCTCCCCACTCAGCAGAGCCCCCCAGGACTCGCTTTCCTTGTTGTCTAGGCGACAGGCTGCTGCAGCCCCCCGGTTCCGGAGGGGCTGCTGGGAACCCCCAGCCCCTCCCAGGAGCTCCAGGGCAACAGCAGTGAAGAAGAGGAGCCTTTGGCCCGCCATGCCACAGCAGGGACATCCAGGCATGCCAGGTGCTGAAAAACACAAAGGCCACTTCCATGAGCTGCCACCCGTGGCTGAATACCTGCTTATGAAATATGGTATCTTAACCCTCCTGCTTGCCTGGCCCAGGGCCTCTGTGGATCCAAATGGTGGGTGCACAGAGCAAAGGGGCTCTGCTCCTCCACATCCCAAGGGCCACACATTTTTTCCTTCTCAGCCGGCCTTGGACTGTCAGCATGTCTGCCTGAGGCTAAATTTTCCCTAATGACAGGGTGAGGCGCTGGCTGGGTTCCCCTCAGCCACCGGGAGGCCCAGCCCAGCCCAGCCGGGTGTCTCTGGCTGCCAGGGGAGGTTTTGCCGCCAGCATGTGCCCTGGTGAGGACACCCCAGAGTCTGGTACTCTCTAGCTTGATGGGGCAACATCAGGAGGTGCAGCTGAGCTAGTACAGAACCATTAGAACTTCTTCCTAGGAAATGAGCCCAATGCCCCTGGGGCACAGAGACAGACAGGAGGTGGGACTGAAGAGAAAGGATCGACGCTTCTCTTAGGAGCTGCCTCACAGATGCTCTGAGCTCTGCCATTAACTTTGTGCTCTGAAGCCCCCTCTCGGAGCCTCAGTCTCCTTGTCCATAACATGAAGAGAAGCGTTGCCTCCCTCACATGGCCGTGCACTTAAGGTGAGCTTGATAACGCACTGGAACCTGCCTGGTACGGAGGAAGCACAGAGCGCCCTCCTTATGCTGTGGGAGGCCTGCGGCACTGGGCAGCAGAAATGTACCCAGCCGGTGATCACAGGAGGGTGTGAGTCAACCAAGAGAGAAGTTCAATCTGCAAACAGGCATGAGGTTTAAACGTGGTCTGCCCTGCCTCGTGCAGGCTGTGACCTTGAGCTGGTCATGTCCCTGCCTCAGTTTCCTCATGGGCTGCTCGAGGTGGGAGGGAGGGAAAGCAGCTGCCTCCGGCCGGGGCAAACATGCCCACGTCCAGGGTCTCCAGGCCTGAAAGCAGAGCCTGATGAAACCCGCGGGGCTCCACTGGGGACCAAAGGCAGGCCAGGGCCAGGTCGGGCTTGGAGGCCGAGGCGGGTCACGCAGAGATGAGCGGGTCACGCAGAGATGAGGTTTGGGAGAGGGGAAGGGGGTGCGCCGAGAATCTAAGGGGACAGGGAGGGGAGAAGCAAGAGACGGTCAAGAGAGAGATCTAGAGAGAGTGGGACAGACTGACGAGGAGGGGGAGAGCGAGGGAGCGATGCGGCGCGACGCGTGGGCGACGGACACGAGCCCGAGGAAGTTTAACTCCGGGCTCGGGGCGAACGGCCCAGGTCGGCCCGGGGCGAGACGGGCCGGGGTTGGGGGCCGCAGGGCCCGTCCGCCCAGGGC